GTGAAGGGAAACTTGAGCCGAGGGTGGTCTTGTGTGTGATGTTAGGGTAGCCTGAGGGTGTGAAGGGCTATAGGTTGTGGTTTTTAGGAGTTCAAGACATTAAGATTATTAACTGCAGGAATGTGGTCTTTAATGAATCTGATGCCATCATTGCTAGATTATCAGTAGCTTTGGGAAAGATTATATGTACCTCCCCCTGTTTTTCAACCCTCAAAACCATGGAGTAAGCTCTATTTACCGATGGTAAAGGATCCATCACCAACAATTGATTTCTGATATTATCGTAAGAGTCATTTAATCCCATCAAAAACTGCATAAGTTCACTGAATGAAGCTAGATCTGATACTTTCTTCGCGGCTCCACAATTAAAGATTGGAATAGGCATCAGACAAGCAATTTCATCCCATAATTTTTTGAGTTTAGTGAAATATTTTTCAACTAATAAGGATCCTTGAGTTGAACTACTGATCTCTCTTTGCAATTGGTATAGTAACGGACCATTACATTACCCATACCTTTCCTCCAATTCAATCCATAAATCCCTCGCTGAAGTCGTAAAAATGAATGCATCTACAATTTCCTTCGAAATTGAATTTAGTATCCAAGATCTAACCATACAATCCACTCTAATCCATTGATCTAATTTTGAAGCATTTTCAGCTGGTCTTTCACATTTTCCATCGATAAATCCCAATTTCGCACCCAATGCAATCTTAATCGATCTACTCCAACTCAGATAATTTTTACCTGTTAAAGATGAGGTTAGTAGTATCATTCCTGAATGATCTGATCCTTGCATATCCAAAGGATCACCGTTGCTGTAGTCCTTCTCGGATGCTCTTTGTTCTATGGGTAAATCATGAGCTCGTTCGTGTAAGATTTCCATAGCCATGATCGTCGGGAGGTTAGACGATAAAGCTTAGAACCTGGGTAGCTCTGATACCATATTGGATTTAATGAACTTAGTTTGTGCAGTTAAGAGTGCTGCAATTTCTCACTAAAATTGTTTATTTCATCCTACTGAAATCAACATAAAAGATCCAAGGTATTTATAGTAAAAGCAAGCAATAAGAAATTGACACCTGACAAACTAACTAACTAACCAAGGTCAATAAGCGTGAAAAAAAGAAAATGAATAAAAGATAGTAAAAAGGAAAGGGAAAATAACAATTTCTTCAGAGTTCTTTGAAACTTATATTTATGCATCGACTCTAAAAATAATAGAGAGTATCCACTGGCTCTATGGTAACTTTGTGAATTAATTAATACAAAGCCTCTTTTGGTTCGGATTAAAATCTTATTTTAATTCAAGTCAAAGTCAAAGTCAAACAATTAATATTAACCACATCTTTCATGGGTCCCATAATTTTTCAACCACACATTTCAAAAACTTCTATCACAATCTACTAAAAAATTAATTTTAATCCCACCAATCACCCTCTAAATCTATCTCCTTCATTATTCTCATCATAACTCCTACAAACTGTCAAGCATTAACATTTTTATGCACGTGCTTCTTGTGGAATGTCTACAATAAAACTTTATGGTCTCAAACGTAGACAAGAAAAATCTACTGAAGGTCCGTTGGATAAGGAAAAAAATTTGTAAATAATGGAAAATGATATGAATTTTTAGTCTATTTATAAAGGGACAAAAAAAGTTAATTTTCCCCAAAAGATGAAAATTTGCCGCCCTCAATTTTCATTTTTGTCTACTTTTGCACCATATATGCAGTGTTAGTTTGTCTCTCTATAAATAGATTAATTTGATGATAAACATAACCCAACTTTTTATTTTTACAAGCGAGTGCTTATACCACGAAGAGTTCGCAGAATCAAAATTAAATAGTAACATTTCAAGATAATCTTTTTAAGTTGCAAATAAGACATGCACCCTTTGCTTGTTATCCTTTTAATCAAATTCAGCTGGTGGATTAATTTAGACAAAGAAATTTGATTAATTTAATGACATGAAGTGAAATTCAATTTAACCCATTTGAATCTTTATTTCATAGTTTTGAAAAGGGCCCACTTGAAATTTTGTACAAGTTCATAATCCATGACTTTTTTTTTTTTTAGATGTATTTATAATTAGCCCTTGTTTGAATCACATTAAAATTTTCATTATCATTCTTCTACTCATTTTCAACCGAGAATTACTACATGTACATCATGTTTGCCCACGAATTTTTATTCATGGTAGGCCACCTCGCATGTGAGGGGGCTGTAGCATATTGTACAACCATCATTTCCCATTTCAACTATACATTTTATCACATCAATAATTTTTTTTTAACCACACATTCTCTATCAATCTACTATTCCAAAATAATGTGGCTCAAACACACCATAAATATTTTTACATAATGTAGTAAGAAATATGAGAGATTGGTTTTTAGTATTTCTACGTCCTCTAGTATTTTCCATTCTATTTTGTGGTTTCGTTTCGTGGTGAGGGTGAGGGTAAGGGGTAGGAGTAGGGGTA